TTTTCAACAAAAGCGTGCGCGCGCGCTCTTGCGTCGTCGTCGTCGTCGTCGTCGCCGTCCTCCCTCCTCCCGCGTCGTCGTCGTCGTTGTCGCCTACGTCGTCCTCTGTCTTTCCTCGTGTCCGTCGTCGTCGTCCTCTTTGGCGTCGTGGTCGTTTCCGTCGTCGTTGTTGCCGTGGTCGTCCTTCCTCCTCCTCCCGCGTCGACGTCGTCGTCCGTCGTCGGCGTCTCGTCGTCGTCCCTCCTATTTCGTCGCCGTCGTCGTCGTCACCGTTGTCGTCGTCGTCTTCCCTCCTCCCTCGTCGTTGTCGTCGTCGGCGCCGCCGTCCTTCCTCCTTCTTCGTCGTTCGCGTCGTCGCCGTCCTCCCTCCTCCCTCGTCGTTGTCGTCGTTGCCGTCGTTGTCGCCGTCGTCGTCCTTCCTCTTCCCTCGTCGTCGTCTTCGTTGGCGACGTCGTCGTCGTCGTCGGCGTCAGCGTCGTTGTCGTCGTCGAAGTCGTCGGAGACGTCGTCGGTGTCGTCGTAGTCGCCGTCGTCGTCGTCGTCGTCGTCGTCGGCGTCGTTGACGTCGTCGTCGTCGTCGTCGTCGACGTCGTCGGTATCGTCGTTGTCGTCGAAGTCGTTGGAGACGTCGTCGGTGTCGGCGGCGCCGTCGTCGTCGTTGTCGCTGTCGTCGTCGGCGTCGGTGTCGTGGCCAACTGTCATGTGGTACGTACCGCCACGGTCTTGTCTCAAGAGGTCTTGCGACCAAGTTGCGGGTGGGAGGGTGGGATGTTTGCACGAGCAGTGGATAGGACAGCTTCAAGACGGTCAAAGATTAGTTGCACGACATAAATCGCACCACATGGATACTTGTTCTCAAAGAGAACCACGATCTACCCCCCCCGGGGTGCCCCCCCCCCTCCCTTTTCGATTGGAAATGCGCATGTAATCCTGGCCCTCGCCCATCCTGAATACGAACTCACATACCCCCAACTAAACCTTCACCGCCCCCCCCCTCGCATGTCACAGCAAGCACGATGCGCGCGAACTCGTTTATCACAAATCATAAGCGTTCAAGAATCCCACGCGGAAGATGCGACGAAATGCACGCGTGCGCGTCGTCGCGCCCAGAATCCTATAGAAACCCCAGGTGCAGCGAGGAGTTGAACATCGAATTCCCAAAACGCACGTAACAACACATAGGTTCGCAACCAGAATGCCCCAAACAAACTTGCGCGCTATTGTGAATTCTTCAAAACACCGTAGGTTGTCCAACAACTTTACCGCGCGATACCATGCGGGCTTCGCGCGCGCGTGTCGACATCGCCCGAAGGCCCTCGCGCGCGCTTGTCGCGAGAATCCGCGTACATAACGCGCGACGAAGTGCGCGCGCGCCTCGTCGCGCGCGCCGAAATCATTCGAAGAACCGCAGGTTGCGCAGGGATGTTCCAAACCGAGTGTCCCGAAACCAAATAAAAGTAGGACTTCGCATCAACAAGTTTCAAAACAGGCAGCGCTCGCGCTCCGCCAAATTCTTAAGAAAACCATCGGTTCTTCAACATGTTCGCCGCATTCTGCCAAAGGGGCCCCGCACTGAAATGCCCGCTGGGGCGTGCCCAGCGGCCAGAGCCACCGCGGCCGCGTCGGTCGCGCCAAACTAGCTGGCCGCCGCGAGCGCATGCACGCGCGGGCTGGCGCCGCGGAGATGCACCAGCCAACACCAAACACTCACCGCAATCGCCTCCGCATGGGTTTTGCAAACTCGGTTGCGGGTGGGCGGGTGGGCGGGCGGGATGATTGCGCGAGCAGTGGGTTTGACAACTTCAAGTTGCGCATCGGTGCATTGCACCGCGTAGATTTTCATTTCAAGAAGAAAAGAGTATACCCTCACCCGGGATTATCGGCCCCCCTTTGGCGCATTGCAAGGTGCATGTGATTCTGCCCCATCGTCCATCCTAAGTGTGAACCCATACCATCCCAACCCAGCCGGCACCGACCCCCCTCCGCCGTCCTCTGCCAAAAACTACGCGCGCGCACTCTTTCGCCAAAAATCACCAGCGTTCAAAATCCTGTGCGAGAGATAGGGACGAAGTGCACGCGCGTGCGCGTCGTCGCGCGAGCCTGCCGCAATCCTTCCAAAACCTTCGGTTTTGTAAGAATGGCAAGATCGAGTGGCCAAAAAACATACAGAGACACCTGCTTTCGCAACGCGGACTTGTTACCCAACAACAACTTGCGCGAGCTCTTGCGACTTGTCAACAGGGCCTTAGGATTTTCAGCATTCCCATGTAATGCTATCAGAAAGGCTTCGCGCGCGAACGTCTAAATCGTTCGAACGCCCTCGCGCGCGCACTGTCGCGAGAAGTCATGTGCAACAGGTGGGGCGAAGTGCACGCGCGCGCGTCGTCGCGCCGCGCGCGTGCCGAAACTTTTTCTTTTCCAACCTGTTCATGGAATTCGTCCAAGTGGGCCTCTCGCGCCGCGCGCCGAGATCACACGCGCGCCTTTGCGCGCGTGCTCTTGGGGGGGCCGCGACCCGTGTGAAATAATACCACGCAAGCCACTCTCGCGCGTCGGCCGCGCGCGCATGTCGAACTCTGCCCAAAACCGTCGCCTCCGACGAGATGATGCCGTCATCGCCGCCGGCGTGATCAGCATCGGCGCCATCACTGGCCGCGCCGTCGTCGTTGTCAACATCGCCATTCACATCGCTACTATCGTCATTGTGTCTACCGTTGTCGGCGTTGCCATGATACCGCGTCAGCCCAAGCGGCCGACTCGCAATGAAGTGCCCGCTGGGATGTGCCCAGCGATCAGCGCCACCGCGGCTGCGTCGCCCGCGCCAAACTAGCTGGCCGCTGCGCGCGCGTGCTTGGGTTGGCGCGGCCGCAGAGATGCAACAGCTAACTTTTCACCGCAACCGCCGCCGCATGGGTTTTGCAAACCAAATTGCGGGTGTGTGTGGGATGTTTGCAAGAGCATGGAGTGTGTCCACTGTTTTGTAAAAATCAGTTGCGCCACATAGATTCTCCTTTCCAAAAAAGGAATAGGCTCGACCCCCCCCCCGGACTTATCCGTTCCCTTTTCGGGTATGTAAACCATATATGATTCTGTCCACTCGTCCATCCTAAATATGAAATCATACCATCCCAGCCAAACCGGTTTTCCCCCTGAGGTTCCCTTGTAAAAAAAACACTATGCGGTGACATTTGTTGTTCTAACATCGCACTGTTTCACAAATCCCTTGGAAAAAACGGGACGAAGTACACACGCGCGCGTCGTGGCGCGCATGCCGAAATCCTTCAAAAACCTTCGGTGCCGGAAGGAATTCGCCATCGTGTTTTCAAAAAACATAGAAAAACAAAGGGTTTCGCAACACTGATTTGCTAAAAAAACTTCCGCGCGAGCTCTTGCGAAATCTTACAAAACCAAAGGTTTTTTAAGATTTTCACAAAATGCTACCAAACGGGCTTTGCGCGCGCATGTCGAAATCTGTCGAACGCCCTTGAGCGTGTGCCGTCGCGAGAATACTTGGCAACAAATGGGACCAAGTGCAGACGCGCGCGTCGTCGCGGGCGTATGCCGAAAACCTTCAAAACCCATCGGTTTCGGAAGGATTTCAAAATCGTGCGTCCAAAAAACCTACAAGAACCCAAGGTTTCGCAACACGGATTTTCAACAAAAGCGTGCGCGCGCGCTCTTGCGTCGTCGTCGTCGTCGTCGTCGCCGTCCTCCCTCCTCCCGCGTCGTCGTCGTCGTCGCCTACGTCGTCCTCTGTCTTTTCTCGTGTTCGTCGTCGTCGTCCTCTTTGGCGTCGTGGTCGTTTCCGTCGTCGTTGTCGCCGTGGTCGTCCGTCCTCCTCCTCCCACGTCGTCGTCGTCGTCGTCCGTCGTCGGCGTCTCGTCGTCGGTTTTATCTCGTCACCGTCGTCGTCGTCGTTGTCGTCGTCGTCTTCCCTCCTCCCTCGTCGTTGTCGTCGTCGGCGTCGCTGTCCTTCCTCCTTCGTCGTCGTTCGCGCCGTCGCCGTCCTCCCTCCTCCCTCGTCGTTGTCGTCGTTGTCGTCATTGTCGCCGTCGTCGTCCTTCCTCCTCCCTCGTCGTCGCCTTCGTTGGCGTCGTCGTCGTCGTCTTCGTCGTCGTCGGCGTCGGCGTCGTTGTCGTCGTCGAAGTCGTCGGAGACGTCGTCGGTGTCGTCGTCGTCGTCGTTGTCGTCGGTGTCGTCGCAGTCGGTCTTAAGAGGTTTTGCAAACCAAGTTGCGGGTGGGAGGGTGGGATGTTTGCGCGAGCAGTGGAGAGGACAGCTTCAAGTTGAGCAAGTGATTGATTGCACACCATAGATTGAACCACGTACCTTGCTCCACGTGTATTGTCCAACAAACTTAGATGCAGAATCCTATTGCACCAAGTAGATTGCACTGCATTGGTTGCACCGCATATATTGCGCCACATCGATGGCGCAGCATAGATCGCATCGCTCATACTGTCTCGCAAAAATTGCACCGGAGATGTTGCGCAACATAGATTGCATCACAGGAATTGCCGCACAGAGATGGCACAACAAACATTGCTAGAAACACACCTGCTGTGGTCCACGCTGGCTTACATTGCTTAGCACCCGGGCCAAACTCACAGCAAAAGCAATTTGTTCGGGGCGGGGGCTTTGTTGATACCCAGAACAGGGTTAAACACGACACCTGCTCAAGTACCAGCGGTGAGGAAGACCTGGCGATGGAAGCAGCTGACCCCTCAGGAAGCAACGCTGTGTCAGAAGTTTGGGCACAAGCCACCTGTGCCGCGGAAAGCATGCCTGAGGCTACTTGTGGCGCAGACATGGAGCTTCAGTTGGCGGGCTCGGTCGACGCAGCCGCACCCGAATCTCGAGGCCATCAAGTTTCTCGGAGAGGCATTTTGGGGGCAGGTGGAGGAGGAAGAGGAGGAGGAAGACGAGGACAAGGAGGAGGATGAGGAAGAGCAGGAGGAGAAGGAGGAGGAGGAGGTGGGGTTGGATTTCAACCCGCGATCCTCCGCGCGCAGCCTCTTGCGCTCCTCCCACTCGCCTGTCTTAGTGTCGCAGTCTTTCTTGATCTGCTCCGCAAACTTGAGATCCTCGGCGAGGCTTCCCTGGGTGGCCTTCAGGTCCTGCTCCATTCCGACGATTGAGACCTGCAGCTCGCCGATGCGAACGGTCTTCGATTCGATTTCTGCGGTGAGGACGTCCACTTGCTTCGACTTGGCAACCTTCAAGTCCTCGAACGTCGACACAGCCTTGGCCTCTGCTTCCTGGACCACCTTCAGGTTAGAGGAAAAATCCTCCAGCATCTGCTTCAGGATGCCAGTGACCTCACCGCTTTTCGGAACATAGCCATGCGAGATGGCGCCTTGCAAGAACTCCGATACGGCCCGCTTGTCGTACTCGGTCGCTGAGCTCGCCTCCACGGCGCGACGGAAAGCCTGCATCGCTGCTGCGCCCTGCAAAAAGGAGCCAGTCATACCCTTCTCGATGGCAGCGATCGCCTTGGTAAGTCCCTCAACATAAGTATTCAGCTCGGACTCCTGCTCCAGGAAGGCTTTGTTGTCTTTCTCACGCACCTCTGTGGCGGACGCGAGCGCCTTCTTGGCGGCTGTGCGGTCATCCTGCGCGTTTTTCAAATCGAGTTTAGTGTTTGCCAAGTTCTCCTTCGACTCTTCGATCGAGGTCTCCAGCTGGGGCACCTTGGTGTTGGCTTCCGCTATAGATGCAGTGAGCTCGCCACCGGTGCTCGAGCAGTAGCACATGAATTTCTTGTAAAGCTCCTCTGGGCAAGCCCCGTGCTCTGTGGCACCCTTCTCCCCCCCCCGCTGCCGTCTCTCCAACCTGGGAAGGAAGATTGGGAGGAGGGTGGGGGGGAGGATGAGGAACATGTTGGCACGCGTAGCGGGAGTACGATCCTCCTCCTTCTCGCCCTCTTCGGCCACCCTCTTGGCCATGTTTTCCAGCAGCGTGACGACGCGGCGCACTGGATTAGCCGCCGACTCTGCGATCGAGACGTCGCCCTGCACAAAGCCCACAACCGAGATGGCCAGGACTAGGCCGGAGAGTACGCGCATGGCTCGCTCTGCTGGAACTGGCGGCTGATAGTCGCCGATGCTGCGTTGGTTGAGCGGTTCTCGGAGCCGCTCGGCACGGTCACTGCTAGAACCAATGAGTCAGCATGATGATAACGACGATGGTAATGACGATCACTGTGGCTGACAAGGATGATAATAACGACGGTGTTGGTTCCAGCACCCGCGCTTACGTTTCGAATTACTTCAGGGTGCAACTCCTCGATCAAACGGCAACTGCGCCAAAGGCGATGGCCACAAGAAGCGAGGGGTTAGGTCTCTCCCCTCTGCCAGGCTATAAAAAGGAAAGCGTCATAAACATAAGCTTTTGCCTCCACGCGCGGATTTCTTGGATCTGAGCTGGGCCCCCTCCCTGGCGCACGGAGCGCGCCAGGGGCGGCGCCGGAGGCGCCGTCAGGGGGCCCCAGCGCAGATCCACGAAATCCGCGCGGACCGCCCAAAGTTTATATTCATCCCTTTTTGTCCTTTGAGAGACGATCGAGGAAGTCTGAAGCCGATGCGATCACCAGACCCGTTCTCGGCGGCGAGCGAGGGGGGAAGTGAGAAGGAGAAGGCCTTCTCAGAAAGCGGCGGGACTTCTCAAAGCCCTCGCGCCTTCAAAGAAGGTGTTTGTGTTTTCGGGGAAGGCGTTGAAAACTTCTCAAAGGCCGCGGCACTTCCGATCCCTCTGAGAAGGACTTCTCCTTCTCACTTCCCCCCCTCGCTCGCCGCCGACATTTTTCGAGCTCAATGAGTGCGGCAGGTGCAGATCTGACAGCGCCAACGAGGCTACCCGAGGAGCAAGCGAGGGCGAGGCGCCCCGCAACCAAGGTCGGTGTGCGTCAGGGCGAAGGCAGGAAAGACGGAGGATCCGTATGGGCTACAATCATACAGCCGAAGAAAATATTTCGGAAACCCTGAACCCTAAAAACGTGTTCATCTCTTGGAGGCGCTTTTTTACTTCCGCCACCTTCCGCCGTCTTCCGCTGGCGGAGGCGGCCCCGTTTACTTCCGCCGACCTTCCGCCGCCTTGCGCCGAGGAAGAGATGACAACTCCTTCGATCCTCGAAGGCAAGGCCGTTTTTGGAACGCCTCAGCCGAATATCTGTTCCAGGGAACCATGATTCAAGACATCTGGGCCAGCTTCCCAGACGTTTCTTCAAACAGGCCCGGGCCAAGTTCATGTGATAGATAGCGCTGCAGGGGCGAGAGCGTGCTCGAGAAACCGGGGCCAGCTCGCCGGCGAGCTGGTCCAGAAACGCTGGCCGAGAGTTTCGGGAGGCTTACGGATCAGATGATCGACTGTGATCAGGGGAACGAAACATGGCATAAAGTTACAGAAAATCGGAGGTCCGCGCGGCTTTCTCGGATCGGCGCTGGGGCCCCCGCCAGGGAGGGGGGCCCAGCGCGGATCCAAGAAGTCCGCGCGGATCTCCGAGGTTGTGTGTTTATGTCATTTTTCGTTCCCCTGGTGATGGGCGCCCACTAACGACCGAAGGGGCTTTTCTGGCCACGGCGAGCCTCGGCCACGAACAGGTTCCCTGACCTGGGTCTCAGGAGCGGCCCGAAAACCGGCACCCCTCCTGAGCCCAACGTGGTCCCTGTTTCAGCGTCTTGGCTGTAGCCAAGGAATCGCACGAGGCTTAGGACTGCATCTCGGGATCGGTTGCCTCGGAGCCTTTGGAGAGAGAGTCTCGAGGACACTTCGCTGTTCGAAGCCAGGGCCAGGTAGCAATATGCGGCAGAGAAGGCAGTGGCATGCATCGGCACGCTAGACACGAAGCTCAGCAGAGGAAGATGGCGATGCACAAAACAGCAGGAATAGCCAGAGTATGATTCGTGCTACCTTGACGCATGCGCGACTATCGAGAGTTCACTTTTATCCTCTAAACAACCAAAAACACAACACGCATGGTGAATGCCGGCCGTAATCGTATGAAGCGCCTTCACCCTGTCATGCGTTCTTCACTTGTTCGTTTCTCGGGAGCGCGCGTCTCTGTAGCCTCCGGTGCGCCCCGGACAACAAACGCAGAGCAGCGGATACTTTACAATACAACGAGCGCGTGCAGACAGTGGGCGCGTGAACGCTGCTCGACCTCGCGGCGCGGGACGGCACCCACGGCATTCCTCCTCCAGCCCCTCGGGGGCGTCCAAGACGGAGATCGCAAAGACGCAGAGAGGGGCGGGGACACGATGGAGGCAGTGCGGCATGGGAGCCAGTGCGGACTCCCCGCTCTAGTGCAGAGTTGTTCTTAGGCAGGAGACACAAGGCAGGCACGATGACGCTGCTTCCGCCTCTTCGAGCTCACGCTGCAGTTGTGAAGGCGTGGTCGGATGCCCAAAAAACAACACAAGCGTCAGGGAGCGACCGCGACGAGGGGGTGGAAATGAGGGCGAACTCCAGGCAGCAGCCCCAGGGACGAGCAGAGGGAGAGCAGGCAGAGGAGCGACGCAACACGGAGGAAGGAGGGACGGCGACACCACCCAGAAGGCGGTCGAGCGGGAGAGCAGCGCCAGCATTCAGAGGCTTCTCGCATTGATCCCCTAACGCGCAAGATAGAAATCGTTCACCAAGACACCTCTGCCGGGAAAATTGCTAGAAACGAGGGGAGGATGGGGAGAAGAGGAGAGGAACGAGCTGGGGACTAGGGACCACGTTGGCCGCGGCCAACGTTGGCCGCTGACGCCTATGTAACTTGTGGTCCGCGGCCCACGTTGGCCGCTGACGCCCACGAGGCACGAGCCCCGCTCACCTTCGCTCTCCGGCGCGCAATGCGCGCGGCGCCTCCTCTCACCACGATGACGGCGATGCGATGAAGCATCTCCCGCCAAACCCCGGCTCCCGGCCCTCTCTGCTCGCCACCGCGGCTACCACACGGACCGCGGCGCCCGCGCCCGTCGACATGCCGCCCTAGGCCTGGAACACGCCAGCAGAAAGGGATCGAGATATTTCGAAATTCAGTGTCCGAGCAGCCTTGGCACCTCCCAGCGCGACCCCTGATTCTCCTCCTCCCCTCGTCCTGTCCTCGAGGGAGGAAGCGGCTGGCAATCCCTCCTCACTCTGTTGAGTCACTACAACATGTCACAGCGTCAAGGCCGCTGGCAGCTCCCGACTCTCCTGGCATCGCCTCGAGGAGGATCCCCTGCGGACGCAGACAACGTCCTCTAGCACCAGCAGGACTCGTGTAGAAGGGGCCACGTCGTTGCCCCCATCCTCTGCGACGTCCAATCTCAAGACTGCGTTCGCAGATATCTCACGGACTGCTAAGCCCATGTGAGGCAGCTTGAGACGGATATTGAATGTATCCATACTAGGCTTTTGATCCTGCGCACAGTCGCCAAACTCCAGATCATCCATAATACTGTTGTAGGCCACCATTGCCCATTTCATAAACGCCCTCTTATTGACGACCCACTGCAACAGCCCTGCGCCTTCGCATATAGGTCCACTCAGGTTCAAGAACTCGGCGGAGCAATGCAAAATAGGCAAACCGTCGACGTCTGGGTTGATGTGGACAGTCATTCCCGCAGACTTGGTACCGATCAGTACACCAGAAGAGAAACTCCCTGATAAACTGATCGAATGTTCCGAGATTCCTGCGAAAGCGTCGGAACGCGAGACCACTGGCCTATCGCGAAGCTCGCTCTCAGGCGGCACCCGAAGAAAATCTGAATCTTCCTTCACACCCACTATGTGGATCGGCTCGTCTTCTATGTCAATGCCCTGGGCATGGAATAGCTGAAATTTTACCTGCATGCCCCATGAATCTTTTAAAGAAACGTGCACGGTGCTAGTATCATACATTGGCCGCTTCAAGAATGTAATCAGACGGTCCTTCTCGGAAGCGTCGAAGGCTAGATCAACAAATGAGGCACCGACACCCATAGTTGTGGGGGATCTGAGAAGCAGTGTGGCAAGGTGTGCGGCTGGCTTTGAGAACAGAAGATCTTGCGACAGATGCACCACCGCGTCGCACACACTTGACAGAAGCCCGCCCGCTGTGGACTCAACATTTCGCGACGTTTTCGCCTCCAACATTGCCAAAAACTCAGCGTCGCGGGATTTTCTGACGGATGCTGTTACGGCGAACATGAGGAGCGAAACAATCAACTCCTGACGCGTGTCGGCGGGCTCGTACACCGGCGAAACAGCTGCGACGTACACAAGACCCAAAACAAGAGTCAGCCTAGGTCTGCAATGAACAATGCTCACTGCGATGCGTTCGCATATTCTCACTGGGCTGGCTTTCAAGAAAGCGACGTTGTCTTCGGCAGTGACCGCAAGGTACCAGACGACCATATACAGGAGCACGTGGAACAATAATACGACAGTAGGGGTGAGCAAACGGGGCTTGAGAGTACCTGCCATAAGGAATGTAGTCAAAGTCATGTTGCCGAGGCGCGCCGCTGAGGACATATCATTCTGGACCAGTTGAACCATGTTATAGCAGAAGGCAAAGCAGAGTATCCTAGGGCATCCCCAGACCACTTGCTCAGAGAGTCGCTTGTCCGCCATATCCTTCAACTGACGATGCAACGGATGCGGTGGTGACATGAAGAGCAGCCACTTCGCCGTGGCATTGAAATGAACATAAACTGAGCTCCATCGCGGGAAGACGCCACACAGCCCAGAGCCGCGAAACCGCCAGATAATGATCGCGAGTGTCAGGAAATTGACGGATATAAGTACAATAAGCCAGGCGCGATCTTCCAACATGATCGGGTCGAAATGATCACTGCCCTGGGCTAAAAGCTAAGTCCGTTTCGCTAGAATGCGCCTGGAGTAGGGCCTCTCGCTTGAGCCAAGATGGCTAAGACCTGTCATGCGTCCTTCTTGTTCCACGCTAGGCCGTCGAGCTATCAAGCACGGGCTGCCCGTGCAGGCAAACGATCTGTGCTATGCCCTCTGCTGAAAGAGAACCTTATCGCACTGAAACAATATGATCTCCGTCCGTGTAATTGCTGGAAGTCCTACCACCACTCGGGGGTAACAGAGGGCTGCTCCTCTCCTCCACCCTCCCCAAGAGATCTGGATCGAGGCGTTCGCCAGGAGCTGGACATATCAAAGACTTCAACGTGTCCGTGAGGTGGCGCCCAAACTTCCCGATGATGTTCCCGATCAAACGAATTCACAGCGCAGCACAGTTTCAATGAGTTTGGCCGTCTCAACTTTCGGATTCCGATGGGCCTCTGATATCCCATATGGCCCCGAGGTGTCAATGAGGCTCTGAGATTAGGTCGGGCGTGTCCTCCTACAGGCGGATGTTGGACGAAAAATTAAAAAATAGTCAAATAATCAAAACATACCCACAAATGCTTACAACAAATCGTCCCCAAACTATTGTTTACTAAGTTTGAATATTCCTCCTGTAGAAAGACACGCCAGACTGAAGTCTAAGATAAGAAGGTCCCATGCGTGCCCAAAGAGGATCCGGAGGCCCCCACAGAGAGTACCAAGTCCCCCCATGTGTTGGCCGATCGCTTCCAGCATGGTCCAAGACGGCCCGACAGGCTCCCACACTTGCCCCACGATTCAACATGGCTCCACAAGTCCTCTTCGCAGCCCCCCATAAGGCACCATGTTGTATTCTGGGGCGTTCTGGGGCTGATCACGGTTGGGTTTTTCGCATGCTCCTCACATCCCTTCGTAAAGCAAGCCGCGTGATGATATGTTATGTCTGTGTTGTCGGGGACACTTTTTTGCGTCGGCGGCTAGGCAGAGGGTGACTGCGCTGGCGACGGGGAGAGTTGTCGCAAAGCTTGCGACAAAAACACAAAGCAAATACACAACGTAAATACACAACGCGGCGCGACGTAAAACACAACGTAAATACACGACGTAAAAACACAATGTCAATACACAACGTAAATACTCACCGTAATAACACTGCGCAGTGGCACCGTGTGTATTGCGCTGCGTGTATGCGCGGGTGTTGTGTGTGTTGCGTAGTGCTGTGTATTTACGCTGTGCGTATGCGTGGTGTTGCGTAGCGCTGCGTATTCAAGCGTCGTGCTGTGTATTCACGCTGTGCGTATGCGCGGGTGTTGCGTGCGGGTAGCGTAGCGCTGTGTATTTATGTTATGTATTTACGCTGTGTATTTACGCTGTGTATTCACGCTGTGTATTTACACTGTGTATTTACTGTGTATTTACACTGTGTAAATATGCTGTGTACTTACGCTGTGTATTTACACTCTGTAGTTACGCTGTGTATACGCGTGGTGTCGCGTATTTACGTTGAGCGTGCGCGTGGTGTTGCGTAGTGCTGCGTATGTAAGCGTTGTGATGTGTACTCACGCTGTGTGTATGTCCGGGTCTTGTGTGTGGGCTGCGAAGCACTGCGTAGTAGCGTTGGGAATTTACGCTGTGTATTTACGCTGTGTATTTATGCTGCGTGTTTACACTGTGCGCACTGTTGCTCTGAGATGTCGTCGTCGTCCCTACCCGGTCACTCTCCAGGTATGATGGGCCCCCTCCCTCAGAAATCGCACCCCCAGACCCATCCTTGTGCGGGTTCACGTCGAGCTTCGAACCTCGAATCTCGACGATCGAGGCTCGAGGCCGTTTGGCCTTCGGGGGTCCTCCTCCGTCGCCACGGCCGGACGCAACCCGAAAAACTGGTGCGGTTGGACCCCAGGAGGGGTCCAGGGACCCGTTGTGAGCGGATCTTGCGTATATGCGTGGTGTTGTGTATTTACGTTGCGTATACGCGTCTTGTGTATTTACGCTGTGTATATGCGTTATGTATTTACGTTGTGTATATGCGTGGTGTTGTGTATTTACGTTGTGTCTATGCGTGATGTTGTGTGTTTACGTTGTGAATATGCGTGGTGTTGTGTATTTACGTTGCGTGTATGTGTGGCGTTGCATATTTACGTCGTGTTTATGCGTGGTGTTGTGTGTTTACGGTGCGTACATGCGTGGTGTTATGTGTTTACGTTGTGTATATGCGTTATATTGTGTGTATATGTACGGTATTGTGTATCTACGTTGTATATATGCGTGGTGTCGTGGATTTGCGTTGCGTATATGCGTGGTGTTGTGTATTTACGTTGTGTATATGCGTGGTGTTGTGTATGTGCGTTGCGTATATGCGTGGTGCTGTGTATTTACGCTGTGTGTATGCGTGGTGTTGTGCATTTGCGTTGCGTATATGCGTGGTGTTGTGTATTTGCGTTGCGTATATGCGTGGTGTTGTGTATTTGCTTTGCGTATATTTGCGTTGCGTGTATGTTGCGTATATGCGTGGTGTCGTGTATTTGCGTTGCGTGTATGTTGCGTTGCGTGTACGTGTTGCGTATACGCGTGGTGTCGCGTATTTGCGTTGCGTGTATGTTGCGTTGCGTGTATGTTGCGTATATGCGTGGTGTCGTGTATGTTACGTTGCGTGTATGTTGCGTATATGCGTGGTGTCGTGTATTTGCGTTGCGTGTATATTGCGTATGTGCGTGGTGTCGTGTATTTGCGTTGCGTGTATGTTGCGTATGTGCGTGGTGTCGTGTAGTTGCACTGCGTGTATGTTGCGTATATGCGTGGTGTTGTGTATGTGTCGTGTAGTTGCACTGCGTGTATGTTGCGTATGTGCGTGGTGTTGTGTATTTGCGTTGCGTGCATGTTGCGTATATGCGTTGCGTATATGCCCGGTGTTGTGTATTTGCGTTGCGTATACGCGTGGTGCCGTGTATTTGCGTTGCGTATACGCGTGGTGTCGTGTATTCGCGTTGCGTGTATGCGTGGTGTTGTGTATTTACGTTGTGTATTAATGCTGTGTATTACGTATACTCACGTTGTGTATTTACGGTGAGTATGAACGCTTTGCTTTACGTATGGTTAAAAGTTTGTTTTGGTTGGTTCGTGAAAAAAATTGGCGACGGGGCCTTAAACGGGGATGCCTTTAGAGCGAATTGCTGTCGGGGATACACGAAGCTCGATCATTTGTCGGCCATGCGATCGTACACCTGGAAGGGATACCACGCGAAACGAGAGATTGGAATCCAACCGCTCTCCATCCAAGAAATAGCTTCAGATTTCACGCTCTCAGGTCGGTGCTACGGGCGTGATCTGGAAGTGCTCTTCCCTGCTGTCTTGGCGAACGAAGGACGGGATGTCACAAACTTCTCCGCCGTGTGGAACGCCTGTCGCAGGGGGATCGGCAACAGGCTGTGTCACTACGTGCCCCCTCGGTGGTGTAAACTTTCTAGCCGCCCTGGGACAGTCGCCCCCTGGCGGAGAGGCTTACCCCCTATGGTACAACGTCTTTCGTGCGCTGACTCCTCGTGGCCGCCTCGGGTGGGCCCCCCTCTGCAGGCACGCCAGCCCACGCCCAACCAGGCCATGGCGTGATCGAGTCAAAAGAAGACCATCCATTTGATCCCTTCCCGCTAGAAGGCTCCGAGCAGCCACTTGTCCCAATACGGGCGCAGAAGACCGCCAGGATGGCCCAAAAGGCCCACCAAGACGACGTATGAGAGAAACCCCAAGGGATGCCGCAAGCGGACTCAAGACAGGCTCGAGAGTGCAGCCATTGACCAGCTTTCGGCGTTCAATGCGTGCTGGTTCCCACGCTTTTCAGCCAACCCTAAGATTGCTTCATGATGGTATCAGATGACCCAGAGACGGCCAGACACAGCCACATGAAGCCCCCGAGATGGCCCAAATCGTCTCCCAGACGGCCCAAGAGACGGTGGAAGGGGGTGGCCCTGGAGGTTCATTCCGTCGTCGTTATCACCGCGCACACGGCTCAACAGCGCAAGCCTCAAGACCGCCAGGCAGGCTGGGAGCGTCACACGAAATACCGCAAACAGCGACAGCGCTGGTTTGCGAGGCGGGGATTTATCCATATCCACCGCCTGTGAACTGACGTCCTGGTGCCCCAGCGGGCGGTGGATATGGATATGTTTTGCCCCCGGGGGCCCGAATATATCCATATCCGCCGCCTGCCGAGGTCCCCGAAAATTGATCCTCCAGGCGGTGGTCATGTATAAATTCCCACCTCGGATGGTTGGTGTAGAACGGAGAAGAGGCAGGAAAGACAGCGGACGGCAAGCAGAAAGAGGCAAGAGCATGGGGAGGGGCTGGAGGGGTAGGGGGTCTGGGGACTCTCAAAAAGGCCCGGGCCAATCTGGGTGGTCTTCGGACATCCTGGGCCAGCGCAGGGCATTCTGGTGCCATATTGAAGCCAGCTGGGGCTAACTCCTGGCCCGTTGGGGCCAACTTTGGCCACACTTCACATGTTTGTTTGTTTTCCGGCCAGCCTGGCCAACCGAAGCCAACTTGGACCGCCTTTGCGCCCCTTCCTGCTGCCCACTTGCTATCTTGTCGCCGCGATTTGCTCATGTGTCCCTCCTGTCCCTCCTGTCCCTCCTGTCCCTCCTGCGCCCTTACTCCATGTCCCCCTGCTGCGCCTCACGCTGCCTCTTCCTGCCGTGCCCCCTCCTGGGCCTTTGCGACGGCACGATGTGGTGCTTCGAGGTCGGCGGGACGGAGTCCTCCGCAAAGAACGGCGAGAAACACCGGGCGACGGCACGATATTGGAAACGGCCCGCCTGCTATCCGTGCGCGTGTCTGGTGGGCGTTTAGAAGGTCAGGGTGATGGGTGGTGGAGCTGTCTCGGCGAGGGCGCCATGTTTGTGAACACAAAAAACCGCCCGCTCCCCGTGCCCGTGCAGCTGCAGTAACTCTTCGAGCAAATTTGTGCACTCGGCGGCGAGCAACGGGGCGGAAGTGAGAAGGAGAAGGAGGCCTTCTCAGAAGTCGGCGGGGCTTTACAGAGGCCCCCCCGGGCCTTCTGAGAAGTTCTCTGCGTCTTCGGGGAAGACCTGGACAGCTGGGCAGCTTCTCAGGAGGCCCGAGGCCTTCCGAGCGAGAGGGCCCGC